TGGAAAGGCCCTCGGCCTGCCCCGACTGTGGCAAGAGCTTTAGCGTCAACGCCAACCTGGCCCAGCACCGGCGCACCCACACCGGCGAGCGCCCCTTCCCCTGCGCCCAGTGCGGCAAGCGCTTCACCCAGAAAGCCACCCTGGTCAAGCACCAGCGCACCCACCGGCGGGGCGAGGGGGACGGAGACGCCCCGGGCCCCAGGCTGGCGCAGCCCCTGCGGGTCCTCCCGGAGCAGGGCCCTTCGCCGGGCCAGATGTGGGAGATGCTGCGGCTGCAGCTGGGGGCCCGCTCCCCTGTCCTGGGGCCACGGTGGAGGACTGGGGACATGCCCCTGGGCTGAGAAGGGAAGGGGGCGTTGGCACGGCAACAGGCTCCTGTGGAGAGACCCTCACAGGACTTGGGGGCTGTGTTCCTGAGAGAAATGTCAAGGTCTCTGTGAGAGACCCTGAGTAGGAGAGTGCCAGTGTTTGCCCGGGAGGCCTCACTGGAGAAACCAGGGAAAGGCTTCGCTTCCCTTCCGTTGCTTCCGGGCCGGCTGAGGGTGGGGAATGGGACAAGGGGCCTTTTCCCTCTACGGGCGGCCGCAGGGTCGGGGGACTGGTTGGCTCAGAGGCGGGAGAATGGGACATGGGGCCTGCCACTTAAAACATCCTGGCTCGTCTTCACAAGCATTAGCGACCTTCCAGGGGCCGGTTCTTTAATTGCCTTGACACTGGACAAACGGACCCTTCAGCTGCTAGGGGGAGCCTGTCACCACTCCAGGTGGGCCGGCCCATCCTCACCCTGCAGCAGCCTCCCAGTTGAGTCTCCCAGGTGTTGGGCTAGCCGCTCCGCAGGCTCCATTTGGACTCTGTTTCCTCACTGGGTGATCGGGGTCTATTGTCCTTGTGTAATAAAGAAACTGCCCCAACGCTGCGTCCTTCCTGTCGCCTGCTAGGGTCTGCCCTGGCTCTGTACTTGCCTGGTCTGGATCGTTGTGGCCAGGGCTGCTGTACCTCTGCGCCCATTGGAGAAATGGCCTAGATTTGGGGGTGCAGGGTTACCAGTGGAAGGGAACATGATTCCCTTGCTAGGAACTGGGTGCAGAATCCACCCTTTTCCTATGTAAGCGCAGTGCCTGCAAGCTGGATCTCCATATCCCAGGCTAACCCGTGGGGCTTTCTGTCTCCCTCTTGGGCTATGGCTAGACTCCGGGTTTGTGTCTAGACTGCATCCCTTTTGCGGAAAAGGGATGCAGATTAGACACATCGCAATTGCAAATGAAGTGGGGATTTAAATCTCCCCTGCTTCATTTGCATAAACATGGCTGGGGCTTTGCCGGCAAAAAGTGCCAGTCTAGACGGGGATTTTTTGGAAAATAAAGCCTTTTCCGAAAGATCCCTTATTCCTCTTAAAATCAGGAATAAGGGGTCTTTCGGAAAAAGTTTTATTTTCCGAAAGATCCCCATCTAGACTGGCGCTTTTTGCCGGCAAAGCCCCGAGCCGGAAAAAAGCGGCAGCCATGTTTATGCAAATGAAGCGTGGGAGATTTAAATCCCCGCTTCATTTGCAATTGGGCTGTGTCTAATCTGCATCCCTTTTCCGCAAAAGGGGTGCAGTCTCGACACAGCCCGGGGGTTTTCTAGGGTACTGGAGGTATCCCAGAAAAACTCTGCCTGCCCAGCTGATAAGCAAAGTGCTCAGGAAGTGTTTCTACTGGTGGTGCACATCTACATGTGCCTCGGTGCATGTAACAAAATGTCTTCCCCATATGAATGGAAAAAGAGGGCACATCGGTCTCTGCCCTCCCTTAGCTCCCACACCAGGGCAGTGGCCCTCACCCTGCAGCCCAGTTGGCACACAGCTGCTATCCTCCCAAGCAGCCGGCTTGGAGCTACATGGCCTGGCTATGGCCCACCCAAGGCACAGAGCTGCATGTGGTAAATGGATTGAGAAGCGGTGCACTAAAGGGGAGTGTTGGCAAACGCCCACGTGCCCACTGTTGCAAGTCCCCGAGGTGGGTCGGCAGGCGTGGTCGAACCTGCGACCTTGGGATCCAATAGCGCAAGCTAAAAGCGCCCGCTCGCAAGTGGCCCCATCAGCCACTGGGGGGCGCCACCGAGCCAGCAGAAAAGTAACCTCTGGAGTCCCGCAGGGACCCCCCCCCCCTCGAGGGAACCTGCTGCGTGCGAGTCTGGCGCTGGACCAGGGGGCGGTGGACCAGGCTGTAAACAGGCCCGTGGTACAAGTTTGTTCTGGGCCTGGAAAAATTATACTGAGGGGTCCTCTGGCTGTGGAGCCCCCGGTGCAGAGACAGGGCTGTCCTGAGACGCGCCCGGCCAGCGCTGAGATGCAGCCACCTCTGGGGGGCGGCGCGGGCTACTCACAGCGCGCTACGGTGGGGCCGAGCGGGTTAAAGCCATAGAGCTGCAGCCGTGGGGGAAGGGGAGGAGGCAGCACAGGAAGCAACTTCCTGCTGCAAAAGCTACCGCTCGGCAAAGTGGCCGCTGCGGGCTGAGCGCCCCGGGGCACGTGGGTTTCCAAGCACCGGATCCGGGTTGGTACCGAGCCCCCGGCCCCAGCGCCGAGAGACCCAGCGGGGAAGCGGGCCCGGGCACTGGGAGAAACTGCAGCAAATCGCCGTCTGGAGGAAGTAACCAGGGCAAGGAGGCTGAGGTGGCAGGGGGCTGTGGGGTGAGATTGAGGGGCACTGGTAGGGCTGGGGTGGCAGGGGACTGTGGGGTGAGAGAGAGGG